GAAAATGAGAAGAAGAAGAAGAAGAAGAAGAAGAAGAAGAAGAAGAAGAAGAAGAAGAAGAAGAAGAAGAAGAAGAAAGAAAGTCATGTTGACTTCATTCAAGCTTCTTTTATCATTATTTATTTTTCATTCAAGCTTCTTTTATCATTATTTATTTTTCTTTTCTTTTCCTACCTAATTTGTTGAATTTTCCCATCCTTTTTCTTGGGTCAGAGTACATTCCTAAAGGATGTAATTAATTTAGCCAGTAGATAAGGAGTATTTTGGAGGAGGTTTGGGTTTTAAGAGGGACAGCTATAAAAAGAGTTAAAAATTGGAGAGTGTTTCCATTTGGCTCTATGATCTACTATTTTAGTAGAGTTTTGCCTTATGCGTTTGGGAGTTTAACGGTTCAAATGCTCTTGGGTCAAGTAACTTAGCTAAATCCCAGAAATTTTTTTATTGAAATGGAACTATAAACAAGGAGAAATGTGAGAATTTGGTGTGGAATTTTAGGGAAAAGGGGTTTCTTTTCAATTATCTTGGGGGTTCTATTGGTTTTTTTCTTAAAAGATGGGAAGATTTTATCGAGGAGATTGATTTTTGTTAAGCATGAAGCCTTTTAAAGATGTAATGTCTATGACAACCTTTTTCTCCCCTCAAATTTTGTACTTATTTTTATTACTCTTCAATTTGATTAGTTCCTTATATTTATGATATAGTTTGATAAAAGAAAGAATGAGGAATTGCCAAGGACACACAAGTTTATGTTGGTGCCTAATCTTCACCTATTCTTGGATGATGATTCTTGATGTTTTCAAATGTGGAGTAAGGCAAGTTGATGCCTCTTATTGCCACCATTTACTCTTTGGTACCATGTGTATCCAAATAAGAGTACCTTATTATGTGTAAGTGAATTCTTATTTTGATTCTCATTATTATTTTTGTTAATATTGTATGTGTGTGTGTGTCCTGTTGAATTTTAAAATATATTGGCTGATGCCTTCAATTGTGTATAAGAAATTTTGCTACATGAAACTTCCATTCTAAGCATGTTTGACTTTTTCTTTAAGAATTGGTTAGATATCACTAACTTCATGTAATAACTTTTAAGGCTTCACTTTTACCATTTGAATGCATTTAATTTGTTCTAAAATTCATTGTAGTGAAAAGCTCTTACTCCTTGAGTCCAAAGGTAGCACATGACCCCTTCCTTTTTTCCTCTTCATTTCTAGGGGCAGGGTGGTAAAATATTATGGAATATTTAGGCCTGATAGATCCATTCCATTTCCATTTTTCTTATGCAGTAAAGGAAATTAAAAGTAATACAAGCAACGTGATTGAGAAGTCAAAACAAAATGGGTTCAAGATTTGTTGAAAAAACTTCTCTCAAAGGTTTCTTTTCTTCTATGTTCCTTTTTATTTCTGATTATGTATCTATCTACTTATTAGCAACGCAATCTATATGGTTTAGCACTTTGGAGTCTTAATTAAAGAACCCATTCAGAGGATGCTTTTATGCTACTTTATGAGTTGTTTTATACTAATTGATATTATGTATGGTTATTGAGAAACTACTTTTTGTTTTTTGGTCTTGCTTCCTCTTGGAATAGTTTTTTTTTTCTTATTTGTATAATATCCAATAGTCTGGATTTATTTTGTTAGATCTTTAATAAGTTTTAAATAAATTCCAGTTTAGTGATGGCACTCCTTAATATGTTGGTAGCTAGGTTTCAATTTGAGATTTTAATTGGAATAAGCTTTTTAATTATTTAAGAAACTTAACTTTTATACCAGAGAAATGCATTGCTTTAAAACTTGAAAAACTCTCCATTTTAACGATTAACATATTCATACTCAACATTTAGAACAAAGTCATCCCTTGTGTGATTACCTAAGCATTATGCTGTTTCTTTTATTGGTTAGTTAAGAGCAAGCTCTAAATGCATGGATGATTCCTGTATTTTCAAAATTTCTTGGCCTACTTTGTTTTCATTTGCTATTTGGGGAGTTTGGTTATAGAGTAATGACGAGTTGTAGGGATTCTAATTTTCAAGATTCTAAATGGTTTCCTTTTATTATTGATAAAACTGTTGAATTTCGATTGGTTTCCTATTCAGTCTAAGGCATCTAATAGGCAACATGTCCTGTTTTGCTGGGATAAATCACTTCCAAATTTTGCTAATTTTGTTAAACTTAATATTGATGGTGCTACTTTAGGCATACCCTGACTTGTTATTGCAGGAGGGATCTTTAGGGATCGTAATGGCAATTGGATTATGGGGTATGCTAGGCATATATGCATTATTAATAGCTTAAGTGTTGTGCATTATGCTATAGAAGATGGCCTCTAACTGGTTGTTGCTAGGGTGTTTTCAAAACTTATCATTAAGTGCCCCCTTTTTGTACCATTCAATTACTATTTGCCAATGTTTCTAATTCCCATTCATTAAGTACTTTGATCTTGAATAACATAAAATTTGTGAGTCATTTTGCTCAAGCTCAACTGCAATACATTGTTAAAGAGAATAATATGTGTGCTGATCAGCTTGCCAAGATGGGACGTCCCTTTTCTTCCACTTTTGTTATGGGTTATTTTTTTAAACTTACATTTGTCTGTTGATGTACTAGGGGTAGGGTTCACTCTCAAATCCCATAATTTATTCTCTTTTTTTTGTAATATATATTTTTTTTATTTTGAATAGTTACAATTTTTGGAATAAGAAGAAAGGTTTGAACCTACCTTATTAATTTTTCACTTCTTAAGAATTTGATATTTCTCATTCTATTTAAAATGCTTAAATTGTTTTTTTTTTTTTTGTGGTAATTTTCAATGTTATAGATCCCTCTTAATTATATAAAGTTAATTTTTTTGGTGTTATATATTTTTTAATTGAATGAAAGTGTATATTACATTTTAAATAAAAATAAAATATAGATTTATACACAAATATATAATTCTGCGATCATCTTTTTATTAAAAAACTTATATATGTTAGAGAACTGTGAAATTACATATAACATTTTTTATTATAATTAATTTTCAAAAATAAATAATATTTTACGTAAAAATAATATTTATAAAAATTAAAAATATAAATTACTACTTCTTTGTAAAGTTCCCGTGCGTGGCACGGGTATCATCTAGTTTATTTCAAAACCTTTACAAACTAGGTGTTTGGAAAAAAAAAATTATTTAGCAATTTTGGACCAATAGATAATAGTTAGGGTGTAACCCATTATTGAATTAAAAAAAATTATCTAAATAGTTTTTTATACCAAACTAATAGTGAATTGATTTTTTTTAATTTTATTGATAAATTTCTTTTTTTAATTTTTTAATGTTTACTATAGTATTTAATTGGTATTTATCTAATTAATTTTAACTTTTTTT